CCGCGATCGATTTCGAATGACGTTAATCTAAGCGCGCGCGAGAAAGAGAAAGAGAGGAAGAGAGAGAGAGAGGGATACCCGTAGGTGCGGAGATACCATTGAGAAACGATGCCGCTGAAAGTTTATTATTTAATTTCCTCCTATCGCCCGGCGAGAAATCGATCGATCTCGACTATGATATTTTCTCGCGTCGCGTAGCCTAGTTAGAGACGCTATTGTTTCCAACTTGGAATGTACGTTACGTTATTTATGATACGCGATGCACGCGACCCGCTTTGCAAACGTTCGCGTCGATATCGCGCGGATAACTCGGTGAAAAGGATGGGCTCTTTTGGGGAGGAAGAGTTTCGCGACACCGATTGTCGTCTGTCAATTGCCGGCTTTACTTTCGTTTACTTTAGCCAGCTGTTTACCACGACGAATCGCGTATCGATCCCGTTTACTCGGGTGGATTACGAGGCAGGTTAACGAATAATTAAACTCACGCGACGAAATTCCGCGTCGCTCGCGGGGAGTCGACTCTCCGCGACAAAAGTGAGTCATCTTGTGTATTTATTTTTTTTACGAGCCTTGAACCCGGAAAATATTGAGTAGCCAAGAGTTGTACCCGGAAAATATTGAGTAGCCAAGATAACTTAAGCTAAAGAATAAACACGCAAGCTTCCTCGAAACTTGCGAGTGAGAGATATCAAGAGGACTTACCGAAAACGGGGCTGAGGTCGGATCTCGTCGACGTTTTTCCCGTCGTCGCGTAGCTTCCGCCGGCGAGCGCGACTTTTTCCTGCAACACACGATATGCACGCACTTTATTCTCGATGTCCTGAGGAAGAAAGATGATTTGCGTTAGAAGAGGGATGTCGAAGAGAGGGAGGAGGAGGAGATAAGTGCGCGACGAAAAGAGCGAGAGATTCTCCGACGCACCTCAGATTCGGTAAGGTCGATGAGGTCGCTCTTGTCCTCGGTGAGGTTCTCCGAGGACGTCTTGTCCTCCTCGCCTTCATGCTTGTAGAGCTTGATCTCGTCCTCGGTGGCGAGCTCGTCGCCGCCGTCGCCGCTGCTGCTCACGTGCGGCATTATTGCGGGCACGCGAGCGACGGCCACCGTCCCCCCGGTTTCCTCTCGTAGTCCTTATCGACGAGGTAGCGGGCGAGACAAGGGGAAGAGGCGTGTCTTCTCGCTCCTTCCGGTCGATTCGGCGATCCGGAGGCGCTCAGAGTCCCTTGGGCAAGACTCGAAGCTATGACTCGTAGCGTAGTTGACGTTTCGACAATTTACTCGCACTTTCAACGAAGAGGAAACCCTCGAATCATACACTGTGTTCACATTCGCGTTCGATTCCGTGTCTCACTGCGCGCGGACCATTCCAATTTCACACTGCGTGCAACGCGCGTTCCGAGGCAACTTCGTAGCACAGAAAAACCGTTCACTTGTCGACGAGCGCGACGAGGTTAGGCCGCACTGCTCGACGCGAGAAACGACGAGAGGGGAAAAAAAGGAAGCCGCTACCTGCCCGGTGCACACCGGTGGTGGACCGCGGTAATCCTGCAACGTGACGTCACTTGAGTCAGAAGCACACTCCGCGCGTCTTACCGACGGAACGAGACGCGCTTTTCGCGCGCGAGTTTAATTTCCGGTCGTCGCCGCCGGAGAAGGAGAGAGAGAGAGATACAGATACAGAGAGATATGCGTGGGAAGATTGCCGCAATAACCGCGCGAGGAGCGTAGGACGAGAAAAGAGACAGATATATATGTATATAGAAGAAAAAGAGGCGGTAGATACGCGCACAGAGGTAGGTGGATGTACAAGGCAGACCGTATATTAATGCGCCGAGTTTGCAGCGGGGCGAGGAGCGCGAGCTGTCCGTTTCGCTCTCGTCGTTTTACCGCTTTCGATTCTCTCTCTCCACTAACGTGACGTTAGCCGCGGACGAAGGCTCCTCAGTGCTCGCACCGCGACGAGAGTCCGCGCGTACTAGCGTATACGCACGCCAAGGACGGCGGTCGCGACATTTCTGCGAGCGGAACACGACGCATGATGAATGCGACGCTACGATGATGACGGCGGTGATGATGACGACGACGACGACAGGTACGGCACTGTTGTTGTTTTTGTCGCGAACGGTACACGCGCCGGGCGGCCATCGTGCCCGTATACGTGTTAACGAGCGACGTTCGCGAGATTGCGTGTGTTCCCGCCGCGCTTATATATGTGTATATATATGTATATTATGTATATTATATATATATATATATACACGTATATATGTACGCGTATATATAATATTCTCTCTCTCACCGCGACTCCGAATGCCTCGACGCGCTCGACTTGAATACTCGGTGCCGACTGCCGGCGACGGTGAGCTCGTACGGGCGGCTCTCCCACGCGGCGACCAATCACGACGCCGGATTCACCGCGGCGGTTTCCCTCACCGACGCGCCATCTCGCTCCCCCGCGACGCCGCGCTCGGCCAGTCATGGCAGGCAAGGCGGCGAGCCGATCTCGCCCGAGCGACTCCGATCTCGCCCGATCCGTTTCGGCGCCGTCTTCGCTCCGACGCCACTGCGCGAGCCTTGTGTTGTCGCGTTGTTATTATTGTCGTCGTCGTGTTGTGTTATTATTATCGTCGTTGATGAGAGAGAGAGAGAGAGGGAGAGGAAGAGAGGATCGTGCTTCTTCCCGTTCCTGGATGATGCTGGAGGCTGGAGTCGCAGCCGATACGAGATGCTGTCCCTTGCTGGTTGACGAATTATCCCGCGTCTGATAAAAAGGTAGGAAAATCCAAACGGCCTTTCTTTTGTTTATTTATTTTTCTCGAATGTCGCAGCAGCCACGACGATACTCGTCACCGATTGACGTGTTTATTTTTGTTCCAAGCTTTTTTTTCGCTGCAAGAAAAAATCTCGAATCCCGGCGCTCCTTTTACGGATCGAAATTTGCCGGATATGTAATAGTCGTGCGTACATTTGCATATTTATCGCGCGCGAAAAGATGGCGGCGTCGTGATGAATTTATTTTCGCGCGCGAGCGTTCGCGCTTCCACGGGCGAAGCCCCCGTTAGAGCAGGTGCACGTGTGATTTCTTCATAGCGGCGGAAGAACGCGGTAATTTATGATAATTTATGTGTCCGCTACCGCCCGTTGTGCAACCAATTTCAGTTTAATTAATATATTCTCAAGGGGATAATTAACCCTGCTGAACAAATCCGTCAAATGTGATTTCTTATTATCTCAAACAGTAACAAAAACTCGCATTTCTTGCAGATAGAACGTTGGAGTGGAGATTAAATTTCGCGAGTCATTCGGAAAATTAAAAAAAAAAACTTATTTCCTCTAAAAGAAGAAATATTTCAGAAACGCATTATGGGACGGGGAGGGAATCTCTTCTCACACTTAGCGTGATTTTACCGAGTCATTCTTTTCTTGTCTCTATTCGTGACTTGTGTTCGCGATAAAGGAGGAGGGTAAAGAATTTCGCATCATTCGCGTACGTACATATTTTTATTCCGTAATTCACGGCGAGCTCGCGCGTTTCGAATACGTGAAAATTATATACGCGGACGGAAAAGAGAAAAGCCGTGTTTTCTCTGGCGGTGCAAAATCGAGAAAACAGAGACCGCGTCCCCGAAATTACGACGACAGTCCGAAATTGTGCCGTTGAAACGTATACAGAACGTACGAAGCGAATTTAATACGTCATGAAAGCATCTAAATTCGCATCGGTGCATGAGAGTCGCCTGCACTCGCGGACTCCCTTCAAGCGAGTTTTTCGACTCCCGTTTTTTGCTCCACCGTTGTTCCCTTTTAAACCGTTGCCCAAACTAAATTTCAGCCGCATCACTGTACATACGTTTCTGTATGTGCGTAATTTTTTATATTTAACAAATTTTTAATTAGTCTACCGCGCAAATTTCACGAATGCGACGAATCTATCGTGCATAACATTATACGTGATCGTTTTTAAAAATGTCCTCCCTATGTTTAAGTCTTTCAATCTAATGCAATTTATGCGCAATGAAATCAATTGTATCTTTATTATCACGAAACATAATTTAAGTTAAAAGTAATTAAATATGTAAATATATTAAAGATAAAGTAAAATTTAAAAAATGTACAATAAATTTTTTATTTTTTATATTCTTTTATAGATGAATAGATTTTCCTCTCTCATATTATCGACGCAGAAATCCTATAAAATCATGACGTTCTGTAAAAAAAAAAGAAATTAAAAAAAGGAAACACCAGGAAGGCGAATAAGAGGCAGCGAAATTGCACGGGGGTTTCGCAGTGGGAGTTTGCCGTCGCGATACGATGTGTACCGTTGGAAAGAGACCGTGTACGCTGCATTTCGCAAATATACTTATCCGGCTTATAATTTATGCTCCGCAATATTTTTCGGCCGCGCAATTCTCAGGCCGTCTATGCTTTTTAGCAGTCGGATATGTGGAGACGCGCACGCGGAAACTCGCTAGTTAAACGCATGTGAGATTGGAGAAAAAAAGAGAGAGAAAATAAAATTAAAAAAAATATCTTTAATACTGGCGTATATATTCAGAGATACGGCTACGCGCTCGAGGTTTCTACGATAGCTCGCGCGGTTTATATACTACCGTAAATATCATTAATTATCGCGTAATTCAGCCTTATCGGTCATTACGCGTAAATCTTGCCTGATCGTCGCTAATTTCAGCGAAACCGAGCGTTTTATCTTTAGTGCCGCGCCGCGAGACGTATCGCGGGGCAATAAAAGCGGAGGCATCCACCGACAATATGTGATCGGGTTATAAAAATTTAGCGTCTCTTAAAATCCGCACCCGAGCGGATTTAAATTCATTTTAAAATAATCGACGCACCGAAATAAAACGCGCGATTCTGCCGCTTGCGGTTGCAGAAACGCGAACCAGTTTCGTGGTGACATCTGTACGTCATTTGCACGTGTCTCGGATCTCTTTATGCAGCTGAAAAGGCAAGGTGGATCGCTGACTTATCGTTATGCTTCAGTGTTGCATTTGCAAGTGCATTTTGCAGTTTTATACTTCTTATTCTTTCCAATAATTATTCTAGAAAGAAAGTCATGTTGTGTCGCCAAAATAAAGCGAGTTGTATCTATGACACTCGATTTCATGATTGTAGTAATGCCGCTGCCAAATTAATACGCGTTCGTCACGCTGATGAATAATTGCAATTATGCACATGTATGCTAATAATTTACAATCTTCTTTGTACGGACTTTCTTTTGAATCCACGCCGCATCAACGATCTCCGATTCATTAAATTGCGATAATATTGTGTTTTTAATTCTCGTATTTGTTCCTCTAAATTAGATAATATGGAAGTCAGCTTCGCGTCGCCAATCTCTATATTTTTACTCGCCAAACTAGAAAATAACACGTCATTGCATTAGCAAGATTTAATTTTAATCTTCGAGGCTATAAATAGTAAAGAATATACGTCTATCAATTGCGTAATACATACTTGTCGTTCTTATAAAATGTCTTGGTAGCTAGCAGGAATAAAGCCTCTACTAGATCGGCAGGAATCTTGGAAGGTGATTCCGTGAGATGATTCACGTGATAAAAATAATTTTCACGCGAGAAGAGAGTAATTTTTGTGGGAATGTCGCGTCTAGAGTGTAAAAGAATTCTTAAGCAAGGATGTAGCCAATTGCCGCGGAAGATTCGGTGTGATGTCACCCTCTCCAAATGTGCGACAAACTCCGCTTGTTTCAATAATCGACGTATGTGACCCTGATGTGATAATTAATTCAATTAATTCCTCTGATTATTCTGGTCAATTAAATAATTGCATATCGATGAATCGTTAGCTTATGCATCATTTGTACGTAAAAGTGTATAGGAAAAGAGAGAAATTTCGATCTCTGAATTCGATTTGTACCTCCTTCTCGAGTCCTTGAATGTCGTTAACTGCCAGACCGATCATGAGGTTGATCAGGACGATACTGGCAAGCATGATGAAAACGAAGAACACGATTCTACTTGTGACTGGCAGGAAAGACATCCTGCCATTCTCGGTTCTGCTGAACAGCTCCTCGTACTCGTACTCACCCATCATCATTACCACGGTCCTTACGACGGCCCTCCACAAATCGCGGAACTGGTCGTTCCCGTGGAACAAAACGGCAAAGCTCAACGCGAATCCGACAATCAGGTAACCAAACGCCAGGAGAACCTGAAAGGGAGTAAAAAGCTCCGGATGCGCGTCGTTATAATCGCGGGGGTGGTGCGCGGCGAGGGGATCTCGATGGGATATGGTATCGTCGACACGCTGCGACTTTTACAATCTGTACATTTGTCTCCTCTCTCTGTTTTTCAACCGTGCTCATGCTTAAAGAGCTTGTCATAGGAAGCGCGAATCATCAGTCTCGAGCGATCCGGAGATCAACGATTATGCACAAAGATACATGACGAATTACGTGACTGGTTACATATTACAACGTATTATTTCAATGTTATTGTCATTAAAGTGAATAATTTTAGAAGAAAATCAAATTTTGTGATAATTTTGATAAATTTTTCATAAAGAATATAAATCTAATCATAATTTTTATTCCGAAATATGAAAAGTATTAGAGTTGATTATTTCGGCTAACCTTTAGGATATTCTTCAATACCGTGGAGAACATGAGCGCGTAATATCCCCACATTGGAACTCGACCGATTAACAGCATCATTTGCATCCAGCTAAGCAAGATTGCGATGCTCATGGAATGCAATACCCAGTGCGCGCATTGATGAGACTCAATTTCTTCCTTCGAACACTTTGCAAATTCGCCCGCTATTGACGTTATCAATGATAGTGTGGCGCATATGAATGATAACCATGTCTCGAGTTGCCTTAAATAATGTCTGAAATGTTTAAAAATATATAATTGAATATACAGGTTAATTTATAAACATTCAAAAACGTAGAGAAAAGATATTAAAATCGACATATTTTATTTTTGTAAAATAATAATTATTACAAATATTTACAAATATTTTTGTTAAAGATTATTCCCTATCAGATTCAGACCACAGTTTTAATAACGATATTATTCAAACACTTTATTTTTATTTTTATTAACAAATTTTTTGTAAAGCAAATAAAAATTGAAATGAAAAATTTATCGCCAATAAACACTGACAATTGTAATTGCAAAAACTGATTTCAGTGTAAAGTAATAAATGCAAAAAAATATGAATTTGTATCTAAATTAACTAAGAATCAAGTTTACATCATTTTAATAAAGTGCAACGTTTAATTGTTTAATTGTTGAGAAATATAGGGATATGTCGATTTCAAGATATCTTTCCTCTGGCAAATTTTAATTATCTGAACTCGTATTTACCTCGGCTCTAGTAAAACCTGAATCATATTATGAAATAGTAAAAAACAGGAACAGATCTCGAGAATTCTTCTAGTCACTACGTGGTCAGTATCGTCTCGTATAAACATTATGGCATAAATCGAGAGGGAAATGACGAAGAACAAATGCACGAGCATAAGAAAGAAAAAGAATATTCTTAATCTCGCCCACTTCAGTCTGAGAAACGTCTCCACAAGTGGATGCTGTAATATCGCCAGTTGCGTTATATCCGACGCTGCGGCTATAACAGCCGTGACTACTGCCATTTGCATCTGGTGCTTCGGAGCCAATGTACCAAAGTCGACAGTGATCTTTAACAGAAACATTCATCAGAACTTAATAACGATGATATATCTTAGAGTAAGAACAGTATATCTGTCACTACCCGCGTTAAAGTCCAAGCAATTCTTACATTGTCGTATGTCTCTAGAGGAGAATTATTGGTCGTTCGTACGCAAGAATCCAGAATTTCCGTTAGAAAGGCCAATGGTCGTGGGATGTGAGCGAATATGGCATCAACGACGGTGATGCCGGTCTTCGTCGTCGCGGCCAAGTTAGCTCCGTGTTCGATCAAGGCTCGTACGCATTCGCGATGGCCCCGATAAGCTGCTCTATGAAGAGCCGTACGATTGATCTAAGCAAAGTATCATTTCGATGCAATTTTGTTTATCTTCCTCAAAGCGAAAAGAAGCATTCGATGAAACCGACCTGATCGCGAGTGTCAATGTTATGAGGTAACATTGCCTCGAGTAGGACCATCAGCGTCTCGGTGCTTCCTGTACTCGCGACAATGTGAAGCGGCGTGCTCCCGGAGCTTTTGCACTTGTACATCGGCCACGCGCCGTTCGACAATAATATCTCCGTCGCTTCTGCGCTGCCCAGCATCGCCGCGTGATGCAACGCCGTGGTACCTGATGGAATTGCGCGCGATTGTAAACTCGAATGACAGAGAGACGGCGTGTGACATTGTCGGGAGTTTTTTTTTCGGCGCTGACGAATTTGCGGTCGAGTAAAAACCGCGACGATGGCACACAGCGCGATTCTATTGCGTAACGCTCGATTGATCAATAATACCCGTGTCCGGATGAATAACGTTGACGAACACCTTCGCGGCGACCAGAATCTTGACGATCTCCACAAACTTAGTCATCTCCTTGAGGTCATCGCGATTCACCGCGCTCCCCGCCAAGAGCAAAGGAGTGATGAGGCGCTCATCCTTTGCGTTCACATCTGCGCTGTGTTCCACTAAAGCGCGCACGACGTCGGCATGATTATTCTTCACCGCCTCGTGCAAAGGTGTCCTTCCCCAGCACATGGGTAACGGCAACTGAAACGACGAAAGGGAAGAATAAGATTCTTTAAACCGAGCTTAATAAAATCTCGATGATTCTTCTCGCGATACGAACTTTTCTTCCGACGAAACAAGATGTCATCAACGAAGTATCCGGGCTGCTCTTGGTGCACGAGTAGATCCCGACTTTGGCGTCGACGCATCCTCCGTGTCGGAGAAGCCACTCTGTCACGTCGATGTTTCCGCGATGCGCCGCGTAATAAAGAGCGCATCTGCCGATTTTATCCGCGTCGTTTACGCCAGCACCTTTCTCGTACAGTCGATCCAACAGATCGATCCTCCCTTGCCAGGCAGCCACCTGCAGAGCCGTCACCTGGAGAGCACCCACCGGGTGAACGTGTCCGTTTTGACTGTCGCGCGCCAAAATCTCGCTCGCCCGATCGAACTCGCCGTTCTCGATCGCCGACACGAGCGCGACGTCATCCGGGTCGCATTCGTGCTTCGCTGTCATTCTTCTCCTTCGTATCGACGGCGCGAATTAATCACGGGCCCGCGAATCCCATAACGCTCGCCAACGACTGGCGCGCGACGCGCGCAATTAACGCGGGCATCTAATCGCTATCTAATCGCTATCGAGCGGATGTGGGCACGCGAAGCGGATGTGGTCGTGTTTCTTATTTCGGCGCGCGAGCCTGTTTTAATATCGCATTAATTCGCGTTCCTCAGTTCCGCGTAGCTCGTAAATAATCTAATTGACATATAATTACTCATGGACTCCGATGCATCCGATGTTTTTTTTCCCCCTGTATGTTTACACAACCGCTATTATCGGATAAAGATCTCGTATTCTATTAACGCGCGCGTACAGGATAATTATAAACGCATCGCATTGCGGAAAGTAAAGATCGCGGCGTGTCGAACGTTGAACGTTTTTTTTTTTTTTTTACAGCGGCGAATAACTCGCGGCCCCGGATATTTGTATAATCTCGTTAAAATAAATTCCAAAATTCGCAGCGGAATTTTCCACATCGCCCTCCGGCTACGCGGGCGTAGCTACGCGGTGTCTCCTCCCCCGACCTAAATTCCGATAATTAATTAATTTCGTGGATATCGCGTTGCAGTTTTATGAGTAAATACCTTCGAAGCGAGTGCATTCCGCCGTTCGATACCTCTTGATACCTTCCGTTCCGTTATATTCGCGTGTAACGAACTATCGATCTGAATGCTCGTGAACCTGCGTCGCGTTTTGATAACGAATTTGTTCACAATAGAGCTAACGGGATTACTTCGTAGCGCGTTAGAAGAAAGTAACGAACGCATCGAACGAAGCCAACCTCGAGCTCCGTCCGTTACTAGTTTAGTATCTGGTACACGTACAGAATGTCCCGGATTCTTCACATTTTTTTCTACTAATTTTTCGATCAGGAATTCGATTAGAATCGATTTTTCTAGGTACATACGAAACCTATTAATATTTCTGAAGCGATCACTATTTTTAATTGAATAAATAAACCATGGGATGAATGAGTTTATTATAATTTTGCAATGTAATTCTTTAAAATATATATAATACTTGGTTACAATGAAAAGTAAAACAAAGAAACGATAAATAAAAAATGTACATTATTTAGCAATTTTTATATGTAGAATGTCTAATAAATAAAAGAACAAGAAAATAAAGAAAACTACTTTTCATTATATTTATATGCATTTTTAGATTCGCAATACGGATATAAACGGTATAGAATAGCATTTGATATAAAATTTAAATTATTGATGCGTGCAGCGGGCAAAGCCGATAAATGAGCTGGCAGTTTCTATTATAATTCCATATTAGATATAGAGGAAGTAACGCTATAGAGAACTGCGGAAAAATTCTATCGAGATGGAGGGTAATTATTAATGGCAGGTGCTAAAGAATTCCACAAAGCGTGCGGTGTATTCAAGACACCCTGTGTGTATACATACGGACACGCGTAGATGCTCGCACACGGAATTGCATAACGACGCGAGCACAGGTAACATTTGCCCTGACGCTTAAGACACACGCGGCCACAGCCGGGGCCGGACTCTCGGTTTGTGCAGCCGTTAGCCTTAACACACGTTCACACGCTCAATCAACTGGAGAGAGCGTCGCGTTACTACCTTGCCGGGCCTCTCTCAGGGCCAGTACGCTTCTGGCTACGCCGCTGAGAGCATCTTTCCGTTAGTTAGACGCACAATCGAGCTAGGAGTCGGTACGCCTAACGAGATGCCGAATTGCCCAAAGTGCGACAAACCTGTGTACTTTGGTAAGATGACAATTATATTATCGCGACGCCAAGACGTCGAAACTAGTATAATTTTCACGGGTCGAAAATTTCCGATTCTACGAAGTGTACCTTGTGACAATCGTAAACGAAGATCATCTTTTACGTTCGTAGCATCGAGAAATCTGTGATCTTACAATTAGTAGAATTATATGTATAGAGAGAGTAAAGCTTTATTTACTAATTTAATGTGACTCTTAAACTAATCCTGTATTCGAGTTATTTTCTCATGTCACTCTCGTCTCTCTTCGAGAGTGGAAAAGTGAAAAGATTGAAAGTGGCATAATTTTATTTGTAAAAATTTTTCTCGAGCACTGCTGTTTCGTAAGCGCAATTACGTAATAAGTTATTGTGTCAATCATTTATATAGCGAAGAAAAGAGGTTATTGAGTATCTCACATCGATAAAGACGTAACGTAATAATCACAATTCACGAGTTTGTAAACTGTGTGCGTCGCATGATATGAAAGTTTAGAGTAATTAAAAGTAGAGAATATATTGCATAAATTTTTTATTTCTCTTTTTCTTTGATATTATATATATGTAACTATATCTTTTTATTATTATTATTATCTTCCCGGAAAATGCAGAAATATAGAAATCATATTTGATAAATAGAATGCAATACTATTAATGGTACGACTTGCATATAAATATATGCCATTTATATTTTATATTTTATAATTTCATATATATATATTCTTTTAAAGAAAGAAAAAGAGATAAATACAATATAAAATGTATGTTATATAAAAATATATATGTATAATATAAAATATTTTCTCTCTCTCTCTCTCTCTCTCTCTCTCTCTCTCTCTCTATCTCTATCTCTTTTCTCTCTTAATATATATCTATCTATCTGTTTGTCTGTCTATCTTTGTGTTTGAATTCATAAGATTTAAGCTGTACAAAAAAGGGATAGAATATCAGACAAACATAAATACTTGAAATGGTAAACCCGCGGTGACGACATCAATGATATCATTAAACGACCTCGGAATTCACCTCGGCAAATATTATGTCAGTCCGTTTCACTGTATTCAAGACTCGAGTTTTTTACTACAAGTAGATAGAGTGTGAATAATCCAATCAGAGTTTTTATAGACTAAACAATTCGTAGTTTCAGCAGAAGCTGCACTAAGCTGCGAAAGACCGCAGATTTGCATGAGATTAAGTTGGCATAACGTTTCATAACGAATGACGTCTGCTCATCATCAGTTCGTCTATGCGCGTTACAATTCGCTTTTACATTCGGAAAATCGGACGACCGTTATCGACGATGATTTTCGAAAACAAGGAAACGACGGCCTCGAAACCTACTTCAAACGCGTTATAATATTGCATCGTACTTTGTAACTTGTACCGTAATTAGTAGTCGGCGGAACGTTCCGCGGGTGATAACGTTATCTATTAGTCGAATGTGCACTTTGAGACTCACGCATTGCGCATAATAGTTCTGTCCGGCCATAGATAAACACTGTAGACGGATAGTTATCATGCGCATTCACCTGCAAAGTCCAAGGTTCTCTTTTTTAGATTCCAGAACTGATACATTCGCGAAAAATTCGATATACGATGGCTTAGCTTACACGATTGATACTCGTATCAAATAGTGTATTTGAGCTGTCTTAACCTTATATAATAGAATATTCACTAATTATTTATTATTTGGTCTATTATTTTTTATACGCGTATCAAATGATCCGTGGGAACAAGGCCATCTTGGATGCGTCTCGTTCCGAGGATAGACAAGGACAGGAATCTGAAAAAAAGTCGACGCGTGTCAGTTTCGCGTTTAGACGTGCATTTTTCATTGACTTGTTTTTCCTCCCGAAACTTTTTTAAAGCCCGCTGACACTAACGGAATTGACTGCATTTTTCACGCGGCACGAATGAACGTGCGATACGAATGTTAGGTCATGACGACGGGTTGGAAAAAAAGGGACACTCCCTTTCCGTGTAAAATGCTCGAAAACGAATGCGAGTCATTGAAATTTTTTCACGCTAGCAATTGAATTATATATTGCGTGTCTGCATTTGTCAAATATAGATAAAAGAAAAAAAAGTATGCTAATTCAAAAAGAGAAACGAGAAAAGGAGAAATCGTGACGTGAAATGCGACGATGGGATAAGAGCAAGGAAACTGCATCGGGCAAAGTGCAACACACAACGATAAACTGTCCAGCCGTGAGGACAACAACAAAGGAGACGCGGTTGGTATATATCGCACGCGCGCGCACAGGTACTAATAAGAACAACACAGACGCAGCATGAAACAGGTTTGCAGAAGAATAGCTAGGTCTCATGATACGAAAAGGTAGAAGAAGAGAACCCGCGAAGAGAGTAGGTTGGAGTTTCCCGCCGCAACCCCCGCTACCGTTGGAAAGGGAGAGGGAGAAGGAACCGGCGTGATGCGAGATCTCCGAGGGGTTTTCTCGGGTACCCAAAGGGAAGAAGGCACCGTGCGAGGGAAGAGGGGGAAGGTACGATAGCTGCGGACGATGGTTTGAAAAGAAGCGAGCGTGGGCGAGGATCGCGGTGGAAGACAAGAGACGGTCTCGGTCGACGAGGTCGAGGGAGAGAAAGAAACGACGGGGCCGGAGGACCCAAAGGTTGAAGGGAGAATGACGTTCCGAGGGAAGCTATGCAATCAACGTAGCGACGACGACGGCGGTGGCTGATTGTTTAGTTCCCCGGGTACAACGAATCGCGTTCACGGCACTGTCTCTACCTTTTCGCGCGCGGCGAATGTGCCGCTGACGATTATGCGCCCGCTTCTCCGTCGCCAGATAATTAGGAGTTAATTAACTAATGGCCCTTTATGCGCGCACCCTTCTTACCCGCGATACACACCGCGCGCATTCTCTCTCTCTCTCTCTCTCTTGGATCTTGTTTCTCTTCCGCCGTACGTTCGCCATATTCCTCATCCTCCGCTGCATTTCGCGCTTTTACCGATGCATCCTTTCCTCCTCCCCGATGCGCACCCACTGCACACTCTCGTCTCGTCATTTTCCAATTTCCCTCGCTGGCGCTACCGCCCTTTGTGCTCCTTCTTAGACACGGTGGAGCGTTTGAATGCAACCACCAGCTCGCTGCGGTTTTCTCTTGCCTCTTTTTTTTCTTTCTTTTTATGTCTCTTTTTTTTGTCTCCCCCGCGAGGTTTGATACGCTCTAATGGCGTGATACGCCGTAGCAGAGGAAAAAAAAATCGGTCTCCGGCTTTCGTCGAATCTTTTGTCGAGTCGCCGGATACGTATGAGCTATATTCATGAATAAGGGTATTAGAAGTCAATGAAATGTCAACTCTCGTAAGTTAAAACGGAATTCGCGAATTTTTAGTTAATGCGGAAAATCGCAAAAATTACTCCGCGGAAAATTATATTATAAGCCAACTAAGGAGATTTATCCTTATCAATATATTTAATCTCATATATGATTAATTAATAATATTATCTACTGATAACTACTGAGGATCACTAAAGTGATATATTTGTCTTATTTAAAGAATGCATGCGATCAATTATTGTCTTTCCAAATATTTAGAATTGATAATCCAGAATAAATTTAGCATTAAAAATATATATTTACATACACATAACACAAATAACAAAAGATGTAATAAAACGACATCGTATAAAATTTGCAATATCTCAAAAAAATATAATCTGAATGAGTCTTGTATTTTTTCTTTTGTATCGCTTCATCTTTCTTTCCAACAATCCTATGGTAACAAGGGTGAGCTTTTCGTATGCACATCCCGATGCAAATTTCCGTAGATGCATCTGGGAGTTAACTGAGCTGAGGTACACGTATAATGTGACTCGCATACGAGGGAGATTTAAGGGTTTTTTTTGTTGGAATCTACAGACGACGCGACATCCTTTGTGAAATACTCCCGCAGAATGTTTCGCGTTCGCGCCTTTAACAAATAACATACACCGATTGATTCCATCGGGACTTTGACATTGGATTTTCTAATTTCGAAATTGCTAATGGAAAGGTTCATACCATCCGTTTTCTCATTCTCATCATCCACAATTCAGACGTGTTCAATACACTTGGGGCTTTAGATTTTACTGCAAATAAGACGACATAATACTATTTTGGTAAAATTATTTTTATTAAATATTATTTTCTTTCAGATCTCATTTCATTTCGGATATTGCAAATATATCATTCAAGTAACATTACCGTCCGGTTTGTCCATCATCCTTTGTCATTAACATGTGTGCCCACTAAATTCTGTTTCCTTCACAGTGATTACTCTTGCGTTAGCAAACGCGCTTGAGAAGCGATACGCTAATGCGGTTTTCGCATTAGCGTAGGAAGATAAAATTTAATATGGAAAGCGCGGCCAGTTCCGCCGCGGTGAACCACCTTTTACGTTACGAAACGCGCGTTAACATTCATCTTGTGTTGCAGCCGAGAGGAAGACGTCCTTAGGCAAAGATTGGCACGGTTCGTGTTTACGCTGCGAGAAATGCAATAAGACCCTAACACCCGGGGGTCATGCCGAGCACGAAGGGAAACCCTATTGCAATCACCCTTGCTATGCAGCCCTATTCGGTCCAGGAGGTAAGTGGAAAGCTTCGTCTTGGCTTGAGCGCGTTGCGCTTCGTTTCTCCTAAAACTGCTTCATATTCAAAACCCTTCGCAGAACGTCGTCGTGTCCTCTGCTCTTAATATATTAAATTAATATGTATCTCTCTCATCCCCTTATTTCACTCGTTTATATGCACATCTCATCGCACTTTACATTACTGTTTTCAAATTAAATTTTTCCACCGCTTGCGATATCAAGGAGATCCGTCTAACGAAGCGATTATTATGCTTACAGGTTTTGGACGTGGCGGTGCTGAAAGTTATATTTACAATAAGTAAATATATATAAAGGCAACAATATTTTTTAAGTTAAAATATACAATATTGTACAATTTTGAACACAAGGAGCAAATATGCGATTAAATAAGATAATGATCATTATTATTAATTCCGGATATTTATATATAGGTAAATATTTCTATTTTCTACAAAATATTCCGAGAATGTGTATGTGTTATTGAATATATTGGAAAGATATATTCAACATTTGTCAACTGTTGAATATAATATTATATATAAGGAAGAAAAATTAAATTTTATGTTATATATTTTTCTAACACCCATATCTATACACATTCTTAATAGATTAAAATATCGTATAGCGATAATATAGATAGTGCAGGTTACATGCTCTCTGATCTGTCAGACTGCATAACGCCGATAAAGGAGAGATATACGTTTACAACTACAGATGCATTGCCATCATAAATGGAAAAGGCTGAAAATTGAAAATTCTCGTATAAAAATGAGCTATATATTTATAATATAAAATTTTACTCTCTTATAATTTATGAAAATATTTTTCTGTAAATTATTCTGTCATTATCGATGTTCTGCACAGGAATTTATATGACTGCAAACAGATGTCGCTAAATGTACCTCTTCTCAGCTTTAAATATTTAATTAGTTTTTACAATTTGAGAAATATAAATATTGTGCTCATTATATATATATGCGACAAAAATATGTTTTATACGCGTTATAAATAGTTAAAGGATGTATATTTATATTTTATTGCATCTATCGTAACTCTCTATCGCAATTTTACTATATCTAATACAATGCTGCGATAAGAGAACTGATAATTTAACTTTATCTTTAATATTTCTTTCTTTTATAATATTAGTGTGAATAATAAAAAGTAATTTTTAAAAAATTCTCTCTGATATCTAGATAAGTTAAATTGCGCGTGCTTTAGAAAAAGAGCCAACGATAATTATTTTTAATGATATTTTGCAGATACCTTTGATTTTTGCAGTACATCATTAGCTATTTATTACACATATATAAAATCTTTAATCTTGAACGTGTCTTTGACAATATATGTTAAAAAAGTAAGTTATTATAGGTAATTAAACATAGAAATGAAGTTCATATAAACGTTATATATTTATTTAAAATACATAATATACGATGAAGAGGGAAGAAATTATAGAGAGTTAAAAAGCGTAGAGACCACGTTCATATAAACCTCATATTTATTTAAAAAGGATGTACAGAGTTTTGTTTGCAAGTATCAACAGCGAGACTCGGCAAGAGCGGCGCACGGAACAAGAATATCACACGGGAGACGAAACGAAATAAAATGAGACAATTATGTTCATTTAAAAATGCACGGCCGCGGCATCCTCGAGTCGAAATCTCACAGAGATTCGCGAATCTACAATTTGTGCGGACAATTTTCATAAATTTTTCGCCTATCGCTTGAATGCCGCGCACAGTCATTTATCTCTGCGTTTTTCACACTTAATTTTTCAATATTATTAATCGTGCTTCATCGACTGCTTTTTCTCCTATGGAGGCTAGAAAACGTTTACTGCAATATTGCTCTCTCGACAGGTTCTTTGGCAAAACTTATTACACATAGGTCATCATTACAATTAATAAATAATAAAGGTATTAAATAATAATATAATAAAGATGTGTGTGATGATGATACAATAATAATATAATAATAATAATAATATAATAATAATAATAATAATAATAATCGTGATAAAATAATGAAAATAGTGAAAATAGCAAATAGAATAAGAATTAATATATATATAATCAGCTTCATTACGATAATAGCAATAAAATAACAATGTATAAGTATGCAATAATCGATCGCGGGATAATCGCACCGAGCATCGGACGCAACATCCAGCCGATGTTCGGCTATTCAAGATGCAAACGTATACGCATTCGTTATCGCTTTTCGAACTATTCTAAAAATTTGTGCTTTTCGTTCGACGGTACCGAACTGGGAAAGTTGTGTCGCCGGGATTTATAGAGAGCGCGAAAGAAGAAAACGGTAGCAATCTCGCATTTTTTTCTGCATCTGCGCTTATACCTTCCCGCACGGCTTCGTATCACGCTATTGTGAGTGTAAGTAATATCGCAATTTGCCGTTCGACTAACAATTAAATGATTTTCTTTGCAATCGCTAATTACAATTGTTAATTAGCTTTCAATCAAGATAAAAGTTGCTAAAGAGCGTAATGCAAAAAACATGATGTGGGGGACGAAACGTTTGATCCTCGTGAATACGGTCTAATTATCGGGCGAAAGGCGATCGACACGGACGGAACATTAGGTGAGAGATTTGGGAAATTTGGCCAGTTAGCTAGGATCGATAATTTCGATTTCGCGAGTGCGCTTTGGATCGACGCTAACAGTTCAAATAATGTCTCTTACACATCGACCTGTTTAACATTATAAGACAATATTCGCCTTTGGATTACTTCAAACATATTGCAATATTTTGTTCACTAGCGCACCTTCCCTTTGAGTATATTTGTGTACGTATGTGTGTATGTGTGCATTGTATGTATGTATGCATGTATGTATGTATGTATATATATGTGTGCGCGCGTGTGTGACTAGAAATTGTCGGATTAAGTATCGCCAAGCAATTTCTGATCTACAACGTTGTACGGCGTACTGGCTGAATTAATTCCGAGACGCATGAAATTGGTAGCGCGTGCCGCTGCCGAGGCGTCAATGATTAGCGCGATTATTAAATCGGGGAACTGCTCTCTCGCGCGAGCGTAATTTCTCATTAAAAATCACCGACGCGCCCGGCCGCTAATTGCGCCTTCGTGATAATCTTCTTCGGGCGCGTTCTGCCCGACGGTGAGCGGGAAGCAGCACGGCTTCCGCCGTAAAGCGGAAGCGCGTCGAACGGAACGGGGGAACGAGCGTGATCGCCGGGCCGTCGAGGAAATGTCCATGCGCCGACTTGCGCTAATTATCACGAGTACGAATGCTCTCCATACAATGGCGCTCGATATCCTGCTGCGATTCACATGCTTATCTTGACAACAAATTTCTTTTTTAATCGAGCATGGACAGTGAAAGAATATTTTAATTTTAAAATTGTTTAAGCTATCTCTTTTATTTCAATTATCTCCATTATTTTGTTCTTTAATTAATGACTTTACGTCGATCCTATACACGCCGCTCGCGATTACGCGTGATACATCCGTGCGGAAAAATATCCGCCGCTCAAAACCAGCACGCTTTTTGCCGCAGTTGCGCGACGTGCTCGTTCGTTCGACTATCCGCGTTACGTGTATCAATGCCTGTGCGTGCTGCGTGCGTGGGTGGTACGCGTGTGACATGTGTACGTGCATGTGTTTATGGATTTGCTCGCGCATTTCGTGTATGTCTGTGTGTGTGTATGGTCTTTGGTTTCTACAAAAAATATATATAATATCCTTAACAGTAGTGATCGTTACGTCGACTCCTGATTTAAAAATCTCAAACTTATCGAGTTATATTCTACGATACTCTTAGGGGATGAGGAGGGGTTCGTCGTGCCTACGGGAGAGAATAAACGTGCCATCGGAGCGCTTGACTTTTTTGTTTACACAGATCATATATATAATATATATATATATATATATTTTTTGTATTCTTATTTATATATGTTCAATTTATATATATTTACATGGTCGGCGACTACGTTTGCTAACGCAAGCGCGCGCTCGCGTGGACCATCGCGCGGAAATTACGCTAACTGAGGATCATTAAATTAAACTACCTATCACCGCGTGCTCTGTCCAGAGAGCCGCAGCGATATCGTCTACGACGTGATCGACTCTCGAGCGTTCGATCTACTCGCGTCGCCGCCAATTGTCGGCAATTTACGAGTCGATCGATTGATCGAAATCGATCGACGATTGTTTCCTCGGATCGCAATGGAAATAAATAAAACGCAGTAACTGACATTTGTAGCGGCGACGCGAGGGAGCTCTGTACGCCAATTTCGACACGATCGACGTCACTCGCATCAAGTTCGCTTTACCTGGTATCACATCGCGCGCTTATCAATTAAATCAGAATTCTCAAGTTCTCCCTCCGATCCACGTTCAACGTTTACAAAATTTCTAGAATCTCTTCGACGTCTCTAATCCGAAAACGTCGTTTTACCAGGTTTCCATCGACGTCCCAAAAGATTCTTCGATCTTCCTCTGCTGTCGTTGATTCGTTCAATAGATTCTACATGCGAACCCTCCACCGCGCGCCTTCCCGATGCGGTTAAATCAGAGATCATTGCTTAATTTCGACGTGGTGTCTCTTCGTGATATGGCGGCCGTTGTCGCAGAGCCCGCTGCCTCCCCGCCGATCGCCGGGAGGACACTCGGCCAGAGGCCATTCCCCCCGATATTCGCGCGGTTCGACCATCAGGCGAGATAGAGGTCCGTCGGCGTGACGGAGGTGTGGTCCGGCTTGGTGCACGCGCTTCCGGTCGGCGAGGCCGCGCTGGCCCCGCTGCTGGCTCTCGTCGCCGCCAGGGGCGAACGGCTGGCCACGTCGGCGCTGCTCTCCGGACCACCGCCGGTGCAACCGCCGCCACCGCCGCCCCCCTGCTGCGACGTGTGGGTGGACGTGTCTCCGTTGCAGTAGTAGTACGTGGAATCTGGAACGAGAGATGGGCGATTTCACGTTCGTCGTGGCTCGAATCTGTGGATCTCTCTGTCTGTGTCAACAGTCTATGTTCCTGCTCAACGTATTCTGCGCGACGATAATGTCGAATCCTTGCCGGGTTTAATGCCACGATTAAAGTACTCGAAATGTTACAAGGGAGTTTACGTTGCGCGCATCTAAATTTCTCTCGTCTCTCGCGAGCAATTTACAGCGTTGCATATTCAGGCGGTTTCCTCGCAACGACGTTTTCGCGCGCGGAATTAAAATGGAATAAATTGCTTTCCGCGGTGCACACCTATCTAATTTTCGCGTTTAATTATAGCACCTCACGTAACGCTCGCGTGGAATATCGGGAACGAGGAGGAATAAGTTGAGCGTGCGCGCCGACAGGGGAAGGGGAGCGAGAACGCTGCGAGATATCGCGAACGGGATCTGCGTTACGTGTTACAGATTAGTTGTGTATCGCGTGTCCGATATATATAAGAGAGAGAAAAGAGTGCTTTATTATTCTATTCGCTCCTCTCTCTGCACGCGCGCCTTCTCCTCTACATCCATGTACGCTCACCGAGGGAGAGGGTATCGCGATCTTTGTCTAGCGTTACCTAGGATTGAAACCGTAGTAGAATAACGCATGGAACTAGGAGCTCGGCGTTATCTCATACGAATCGAGTCGATTAATTCGCGTTTTAATGAAGAACGAAATTGGATCGCGCGAAATTACATCTGCGGCTTGCGTATCTGTCAAAGTTTTTGTCGAGAGAAAAATTTTGGCATTTCCGAGTGTTGCACGTAATAGCCTGCGACTTTACTGGATTTTGCGAATGATCGCGAATTTTTTTCTCGATAATCGATGGCGATGGCTCGGAAGAAGGGAAAATTGCAGCTCTGCCGTGCCTTCGTATATTCGATTCATCCCTGATCTAATCGGTACTAATACTCACTGTTTACTTACTGAGCAACCCGCTTGTCGCTGCCCCATAACCATAGCCGCTGTAGGGTGCACTCGAGTACTGGGAGTACGCAGCACTATACGCATAATCGCCACCACCTGAACAAAAGTCGATGATAAGCTGATTAGCGCGAGTTGACAGACGTTTCCAACAGGTCTCCGACAGTCGCGTTATGTTAATGTCTCGATTAATTTCCGAAACTCGTCTCTTGCGGCTCGCGCGCGAAAATGCGCCAGTAATAAGGGGTAATTTAAGCAGACCTTCGCGTTGCAAGATGATTTTACAGAGTAATTAAAAAACTCACGGCACTTGTATCAAGTTCTCATTACTATTCCTCGAGATAATCGATCTCTCGCTGTATTATAATTATCATTAAGCAACATGGTAATAACAACTCTCTTTGAAGAAAAGAAATGTTGGAGATAAAGCAAAAACTAATTATATTTATTACGCAAGGAATATAAATAAGAAAAGAATATATTATACACATCTACTAAGGATAAATATGTGTCGTCATAGTATCCTCCATTGGTACGCGATTGTCTCTCTGACGGACGGAAATCGTCGTCCTTGCGAGCAAAATTGCCGTTGCTGGACCGCCTCGAACTGGTAAATCAGTGCTCCTCTGTGAAAGAGCTCTGACTTACCCTCCGAATGTACCACCGAGCCCGGTTCAACCCCCGGAGGGTATACGAGCGCGCTTGTCCTTGACAGACGGTTAAGCAAGCGGTTGTGTCTGATTGTACTCACCGGTGGCGTAGTGTCCGAAACTTGGGAGCATCGTCGAGTACGGCGGTATCGCAGAGGCTACTTGGGGCTGAGAAACTGGCGGCTGCAAGACCGTCAGTCCGGGATCCCCTCCGGGGGTGTTGGGGGCCGCGGGGGTGGCGTTTGTCTCGTTCTGCAACGAAATCGGGGGACTTTGCTCGCCCCCACCGGCCCCCACCCCGACATACGATACTGCGACGGTACTGCTCTCTGCTATGGCCATGCACAACACAACACGACATTCGAGTCAAGCACTAGCTAACGATCAGCGCCTTACGTCTAAAGCTTAATTAAACTGTTTCGGTAGGATTGGGAAAAAATCTGGAATCTGGGATTTCGATTGCTTCGAAATACTACATATTTCAATATTTTCCATGTTTAAATCTATTTTCAATTCTCTTCACTTCTTCCTGACTCAACATACATGACATTTAAATCTATGTAAATTTTAATCTTGAAGAAGAAGAATTAAAAGTGCGTTGTTTTCATTCGACTCGAATGTAAAAATGAAATTTAAGAAAATAATTGAATAATCGAATGCTGTTATTTCTTTGAGATCTAAGACGACTGCAATCTCGTATGCGCAAGTGGATAATAGGAGGATTTGTACGAAGAGAGCGGGAGATACCACGCTTAATCTCTCAACAATCAACGTTGATAATACACACTTGAGACATATATTAGTTTTGGACACGCGCATATCTGAGAGTGGCTCAATAAAAATCTTATGCTCAGCGAAACAGATGTACATGACTCGGCGCGAGACCGTAAGAGAACTAAAGAGGTGGCGAACTCACCGGTGGTGTGGTAAGGAGACATGTTAGCCCCGTCCAATGTTTGGCTCAATTTTAGTTCTTGCATCGTCAGTGGCGCGAGCGGCGTCAAAGTACCACCTGCTATTAAGGGATCCCCATTTTTCCGTTATTGCGGTTCTCGTATCGTCGACGGACGATCAAGGCGGAACGTTAAAAGGTCGGTCGCGAAAAACGCGCATACGTGTTGTCCAGGATTTCTTGCAAGAATTATTATAAAGGATAGAGCGAGGAGATCTCGCAAGCTTCCCTCGCGTACAACGTTCGACGAAAAGCGTTAAAGTACTTTCGCGTACGATCATTTTACTCCGAGACACTACTACATATTAACGGCGGGGCGGCAAGTCGCGCGATCGCGACTTGGAGCGTTTACGTCGTCCTTCAAAAATCTTTCGATCCGGGGCGAAGATCCTCGATTGAATTTCATGAGATGAAGCCGCCGTTACACGCCTCGCTTCGTCCATTCCGAAAGGCAACGATCGGGAGAATTCGCGGCGTGGCGCGACGCGACGCGGCGTGACCGAGTTGCTCGCAACACGTGCTCCATCGGAGAAAGTTCCACTCGTGTGTGTTGTGTACCGGTTACTTTTCAATAGCTCGTACCGTCCGTATACGTTCCGCCGTTGATCGGTCGCCTTTAAACGGCGCAAGAAAAGTAGAGAGCGAGATAGAGTGGAAAAATGAAGAGAAAGAGAAAAAGAGAGAGAGAGAGAGAAAAGAGCGAATATGTATATGTACGTGAGAGGAGAATAGGCGAGAAAAGTGAAAGAAAGATCCACGAATAAGAAAGAAAGAATCCCCGGCGATTATCATTTTGATAAGAAGAGAAATACAAGCGGAAAATAAAAAGAAAAAGAGAGAGAATGTATGGTGAAAGAAGTGAGAGCACTATTCCCTAAAGCCTGGAAACGCCGAACCACCGTGTGGAGCCTCCCGCCACCTCTTCTGCCGCTGCTCGGCACAGCTCATGCATTATTAAAGCCATGTATTTAGCCGATATGGGTATGCAAAGCAAGACGTAAGCCGCAATAATAAGCGTACAGGGAGGAGACGAGATGAAGGAGGGAAAGAAAGAAAAAGAAAGAGAGAGAAGAGTCTTTGAGAATGAAGAGGAGAGGGAGGGAACGAAGGAAGGTGGTGGACTCGGTATATGACATTACGTACGAGAGATTGTGGCGCGCACACTGTCTAGGATTTCTGTGAGAGGGGAGGAACGGAGAAAGAGAGATAGATAGATAGACAGATAGATAGATAGATAGATAGATCGAGAGAGAGAGAGAGAGAGAGAGGCCACGCTGACAGGGTTGAGGGTTGTCGGAGGGTGTCGGAGGGTGAAAAGAGAGGGAACGCTCACCTATGGTGCCCCCTATGGGCGGAGTGTAGAGATGGGGCGTTTGCGCTTGCGTCATCGTGCTGATGGTGCCCAGGGAGTCGTACAGCTCGGCGGAGGTGGCAATAGCGTTCCCGGGGAATCCGCTGTGTTCGTAGTAACCGCTGCCACCTCCGCCACCTCCACCGCCACCGCCGCCGCTGTTGCCGCCACCACCTCCGCCGCCGCTGCCGCCGTTTCCACTACCGTTTGTGCCATTGCCGCCGAGTTCGCTCAGGAGCTTGTGCTCGTCCTTGATGCTCCATTTACTCGACCACAGCTGCAACATAGACCGGCGGAACCTAAAGTCGAAGTTCGCGAGTTGGAGGGACATCCGAGAACAAGCGCCAAGATTGACTTGGATGTTGTAGCTCGGTTCGAGCTTGACTCGGTCCCGCGATTACCGCAACTGCCTGAGAGTTATGCGGAGATTCTATGCGGAACTTGTGCTCGCTTTTGATTGATTAGGGCGTTTTAATCGAGGTATGCTATACACTTGGGCTTGACCTACGCCCGAGATTACGATCTGATTTAATTATCCGCATAGGTAATTAGGTAATACGAATAGTTAGATGTACGCGATTAAATGCACTTGGAAATGAATAATTATTTATTGAAATATCGCTGCTTAAAAGAAACTTTGTTGGTTTTACTCACGTTTGAATACAGCTGATCGCCGTTGTAGTTGTTTCTTTGCCTCTTCAAGTCGTTCTCCGCATGGTCGTTCAGGTCGCGATTATCGTCTGTAATCATTCATCAAGAGTTGCATTTTTAAAGAAACAATTTACATTTTCTTTTCATTTGAATTTTTCCATTTTCGTTCAATAACAGAGACAATCGTGATTCCGATATTCGAGCGAAATGTCCAACGAATGCCATTCGATTCCGTCGGTATCTCGAATTTGATAATTTCGAAACGAACGAGGAAAAATGAATCGAATGGTGGCGATCGCACCCACCCACATACACACAACAAGCCCGCGCGATCCGATACGCGGTCGGCCTCTCGTATTAACCCACGAATCAAGACACAAATTAAACGTGGCTGGCCGAAACTAAATTGAATCTGTCGAGTGGACGCGGCGCGGAGCGACTCGCGCGTAGACGGCGTATGGCATTGATAGATAGAGAAACAATTTCGATTCTATTATACGTCTTTATTATCTCTCGGCCGTCCCGGCGGTTTAATATAGGGACAAGCACGTGGGACGAGTGTGTCGTTATTCCGATGCCGAGGGGGGGGGCGGACGGTCATCGCGAACCCTTGCCGGGGGATGGAGATCGAGAACGGAACCGACCGGTGAGAGCTGCAGGGATGGTCGAGTAGAGGAGGGAGGAGGAGGTCGAGGAGAGAGAATGACAGTACGGACGTAACGTCGCTGGCGGTGGGGGTAGATAGCCCAACGTTCTGGGGTATCTCGAATAATTAAATGACCATCCGAGGGTAGGAAAGAGGGGAGGGGGGAGAGGGTGCCTAGCATAGGGCTCGTTAAACCTCCCTGTCAAGTTGTGATTGTCCGGCCGGCCGAGAGAGCGACGGTCGACGACCATTCGAGCGGCGGGGTTTGTTCCTGGACCGCTATAAAACCCTCGTTTCAAACACGGCGGTCTCCCTGAATCTCTCTCCTCCCAGTTCCGCTCGAATTTTACGATTCGATCGGCCGAGTTAATCGCGGCCGAACCGCGCCGCGCGTACAAGCGCGTACCGCGTTACGACACGATTTTACTAAAGTTTAAAGGCCGCTTGCCGGAAAGATCCGCTTTATACCCGCGAGCTTTTCGACTGATGAATTGATAAAATTGCCCATCGTTTTCGTGCGCCAAGAATCTTTCTTTTTGCTCACGCGTAAAATTGTGAAAAAATTATTAAAAAAAGAACAATGTTTTAGATTACATTACACAAAATATTACTAACGATGAACAATTAAAATTACAATTTTTTCCAACAGCTAAATCTTATATATATTTATATATTTTATTATTATTTTGAAATTTGTTCGTGTTCTTTTTTTTCTTGGTTAAGCTACGAAATTACAGAAATCGCTCGACGAGGCATATTTTTATACGAATCGAAGTTTACGAGCTTCGGAAAGTCGAAATCATAGTTGGTCCTCGACAGATTTGACAGCGAATGAATTATGTCGCGCGGAAGGAAGGTCAGCGCGTCCCCCTTAAAAAGAGCAGTAAATCGAATAATTCGATTGATGCTCGAAAGGGCAAAGTACGAGCGCTTGCGCAAGCTTTCTCTCTTCTTCTCTCTCATCCGCGTTATTCGAAAGCAATTGAGTCAATGTTAAGCAATACAATACACGGGTAATAATGGACTCTAGGGCGAATCTGGCCCCGCGACTGAAATCCCCTAACGTCCAGGGGATGTATAGGGTGGGACACGCCAGGCTCTGGGATTCTGCATGGGGCCAGAAGCGCGCAGATGTAACGCGACAACAAACAGCCCCGATAGATTGCAACGCTTCCCTCGAGAGGCCGTTCGTAAATTCGTAATAAGCTTCGGGAACTTTGGGCACGGGTATGTCTTGGCTCGTTCGTCTGAGGCATAAATAATCGGTTGCCGCGCCGGGACCGATTTTTCTCGACCCACGAGTCTCAAATTGCGGAAACATCCGTAGAAAATTTTTACAACGTGTACATCTCTAGCATTTGCATGGTTAAAAATAATCGATTTTTGAAATTACATGGCAAACATTCTTCATCTCGAATCCGATTTAGAGTAAGTTCCTTTAATAAGGATTGAAAAAGTGCGTGGAGAAAGTTAATAATGATGATTTTATTTTTAATTATTTATTTATGAAAAATAAATATGTGCAACATTTTCGATACATATATTGTGTTCAGATAATTTTATATTATTAAAATTGTGCACTCAAACTCATCAATAAATTACTAATCCATTAGAATACTAATATAAATGACTCTTTCATAGGAATATGAAATACGAACCGTTTACTAAATCAAGAATTATAAACATAAATATCTACTTGAAAAATTGCAAAATTCGTGCGATACTTCCTGTCAAAATTAATTAATTTGTTTATAATTGTATTAATTTGTACCCGCTTTTGTTTACGCTTCAAATTCGCGCGAAAGTTCGACTATTACGTGTGGCAAATTGAGTAATCAGAAATCATCGTGTCGTAACTCTTATTAAAGGAATCTTTTAATCCGACTCTCAGCCGCTGCAAAATAGCGTCTCGATCGCCCGAGAATCGAAGCAGGATCGAGCACAGCTTCGTAACACAGTTTTTCTCGAGTGCCTCTCTCCGATCGAAGAGCGTTTCATTAAATTTGAGCACTTGCGGTCGATTTTTACGTTCTGATGCAGCGAAGGCAGCGGAGGAACGCTCGTTGAAATTCCAGACAGTTAGGCGGTACACGCGTACAACACGTTACGTGCACGCCGATGGTCTCCCAGGGGGACAGGGAGGCTAATGTGTCGCCGGGGCCCGAGATAGAAGCCGCCTGTGGTCTGTGAAGTTTATAATCTAATACGTACAGCTCTACCCTCTCTCGACGCGAGAGCGCTCGCGCTCGCAAAACATTGAGTGCTTTCGCCGCGGACGCGACCGCTTTTGCGGCCGCGTATATCGCCGCTCTCATAATCCGATTATATTGAATTACCCGTGTACCCATCGGCATACATACACGCGCGCACACGCACGCACGCACATTCTACCAGCCGCACGAATCGATATACCGGAATCTCGCCGCGAAACGCGCGCTCGCGGAATTTTGATCGAGCTTACGCGCGGTTTTTGCCGACGTGTACGTTTTGCCGCGGAATAGAATTACGTCTGTTCCGTGGAATCACGGCGAATCGTATTAGCCTAATAGTCTCCGGTGACACAGGTAGAGAGATGGAGAATTCTAGCGCCTCTCCGAATATCGGACAAGGCGCGTATGTTTTTTTTTTCTTTTTCCTTTCCTTTTCCTCCTCTCGCATTATATTACGCATTATATTCGCACTTTGTAAATCTCGGGATGCGAGATCGAGACCGAAAATTCTCCTTCTCTCTCTCTCTCTCTCTTTCGCGAGGCTAAAACGCCGTAGTCGGTCACGTGTACGTGGCACGTGTCAAGAATATTTCGGGCCGCGTTATTCACGCAATGACAGCAGAATGAATCGCAACACGTGCTCGGCGACGTTTGACTGATAACCTTGCTGCGTTATGCGGCTAATCTTGGTTCGCTCGCTTGGGGCGCAACGAGTGCTCCAAGTGGCTCGATCGTTCGCAAACGAGGCGCGTACGACTAGAAAATATCCCGACTCGAAACATTTGTCTCGATAGACAAACGCTCGTCGCGCATATAATGCTCGTCGTGTTCTATTTACATCGTCTATTCCCCACAATCGTTACTTAAATTATTATCGCTCGACGTTATTGTAAGAAGTTGCTTGTACTTGGTGTAAACGATGCAATGAGTCACTTGTAACGGGATTCGCGTTTGCCATTAAGAAATAAGCGAATCTCTCCATTCTGCCTTTGCATGCCTCTGATTTTAGGAGACATCGCAATTGAGTGGAATATTATTCGCAAACCTTTGTTTCGCGATTAAATAACGCAGCGAAAATTTGGAATGCTCGAGAACAAAACAATAAGCGCGCACAAATTGATGCTGGAAGTTCTCGCGATATCACCGTAATATTAACATCTGAGCCTTTCCGAAATTGTTCAACTTCTCCATTGTCTGCGCCTCTGACGTGTAAACTGACTTAATTCACGTTGATTTACTGGACCGAAACGATGATATAAATGCTATCGTATTTCTTACTTAAAACTTGCATGTTGCGCAATTATCGTTAATTTTCATACCAATTATTGCGACGTCTTATTGAGCCAGACTAATATAATACATACTGTATTATTTTGCTCTTGAGTTCTAGTTTCTCTAAAAGTTTAAGACAAAAATATACACCCACATACATACATGTATTTGTACTAGAGAAGTTTACTCAAATTCAATATCGTAACATTAATATCATCAAAAAATACTCCATTATTATTTAAATTAATTATGCAACTCTCATCGAATAGACTGAAAGAACTTTTAAATTTTTAGAAATCAAACTTTCGAATTTTTAGGCTGATTTACAAATCGATTTAATATATGTGATGTAATAACATGCAATTATATAATTTACAAAATTACGAGTCAAAAAATTATTTTGTAAGTCTCTTACTTTACAAAAACCGCAAACTAATGAAGCAATCTTTTATAAAATTTGATAAAATGCCGCATTCAATTATGCTGAAAAGTATGTGCATGTTAAAGAAAGATATGCCGATTTTGCTTCTCTCTCTAGGAACAACCATCTTAACTATTGAAACGTGTTACAGGATGAGCTCGTCGCTATTCGGTTTATATACTCGCGATATTAATAACATTTCATTCCCCCATGCAATACTTTCGTACCGTGCTGTCTGAGATTTCTGCAAGTTCAGTTGCAATTCGACATCTTTAAAACGATCTCGTTGCCGATAATAAACGTACTCGGTATTAAATAATGTTGCACGATGACGGAGCATACGAAGAAGGATATACGAACGCAGAAGAAACCGGGGTCAGCGACACGAGCGAGGAGACTCGCGAGTGACTCACCGTCAACGCTGCGTTTCCTCTTGATGCTGTTGCCATTGGGATCCTGATGATGCGCCGGGATGCCCAGGATGCCACTGATGCTGTAGGCGTTGGGTGCGGTGGCAGCGGGATGACCTGCCGCTGTCGCAGGTGCATGTGCTATCACCGACACGGAACCGCCGGAGCCTGGCTGACCTTGCTGCTGACCTTGCTGCTGCTGCGCCTGCTGTTGTTGATGCGCGTGCTTGGCCTTCTCCGCCGCCTTGTTCCTCACGATCCTGCGAACAATAGGTCAAGCACATCGTGTAGCAAAATCGCCACGTCATAGAGAGATGTGTCTTCCTCTCTCTCTCCTTCTTTCTCGGTTAAAAATCCGAATGGATTACGCCAACTGGTAATAAATCGCGCGACGTCGTCCATCGATTTGGATCTTATCGAGAACGCTTTCGGCGCAGATACATCTGTGCTGCTGTATCTATTAATACACGGTGACTTCATAGAGCAACAATGAAGTAACACAAAGTATCGATTGTTAATTCCGAGTCCCTCGGATGCGGCGCGATTCGCCTTCGAGATCGACGATGAGACTTGGACATTGTTGCGAGACAAGATCTTCCCGTCGAGCGTGCTCGATCCTTCGCGCGGTGATCGAGATATTGAACGATCAGCCGTTCGGATTGTTAATTCGAACATCATCCGAGCTGTTTAACGCGTAAAAAGTTTCAAACGGATATCGATGTTTATTGCATCTTATTCTTCAAGACATCTCTCATCTTACGGAGATTATTCTTACTAAAAGTGATCTCTCGTTGCTTCCTCCGCGAGAACGTCCGTTGGAGCGTTCGATGCGGAATGAACGAGCTGTCCCGACAAAAGTAACGATTGTTCATTCCAGTTCCATCACGGCCGATCATAAATCCCGACATTGCCGCTTAGAGTGCGAGCCCAACGTCCGCTCAACTCCACCGGCGATAACCTGGTGCGTGGCCGCCCCGCGCGATACCGATCCGCGAGTCACGGATTACACGATGATTAATTACGATTACGCGGGTCACTTCGCGCACGATCATTCTCCTCTGACGTCTACCTAGATCTACCTACCTACCTACCTACCGCGAGCGTACACACACACACACACACACACACATGGACGCGCCAAGAGACGCGAGGCCATTGTTCGCCATCGGATAGCGACCGAGTGACTTTGCGAAATCTTGCCGCCTCGCGTCGTAATTCGCCATCGTAAGTCCTCGAAGAGGACTCGATGTTATAACGAAGCGCTGCCGCCATCTCGACTCGAGGCGCTCTTCCCCTTCTTTCCACCCCAGTCGTGCACGGGGGCGTGTGTGCACCGGCCGCTTATTATCCATGATATATTGCGCGTACGGTTTCAATGGTCAGCCGCTCTCTCGACGTCGGTATCAATTACCGCGTCGAATATTCACGGCGGCGCGCTATTAATTCCGTACGCGCGACTCGCCGCGAAGCGTCTCGCGCGAATCGAGTTGCCCGATACGTCCTTTCGGCCTTGGGTGATTTAGCGCTTTCGCCGCGAGTTACCGCTGGCTTTTTGCTCTCGCAGGACGTCTCGTCGTAACGCGCGCGGTCTGGTGGCGAACCGACCGAGTCCATTTTCTAAGAGGCTTGTAATTAGGGGTGACATTATCACGTGGTAACACTAATAGAGATTTGAAAAAATCCCGGTAATTCTGAAAGAAATTACATCGTAATCACTTTCTCAATTTTCGCAGATTTATATCAGATTTTTCAACTTTGCGGAAATAGTCATTAAACTATTATTTTTCTTTCTACTCGAAAGAATGATAAAAATCTATTATATTTCTGAAAATATATTATTGAGCAAGGCAATTCGTACGAATAACACATGCGATGTGTATATCACACGATACACGTGGTCGTAGTCTCGCTCTTTTCCAGTCTCGTCCTTTTTCATTCTGTAATGCACTTTGGATCGCGTCAGGTCAACGATTCCTCGTTGGGATGGGCCAGTACGTAATGGATCGACATTAAGTCCTTCGTTTCTGCCGTGGATGTGTTTGTGGGCTAGGTAATCGTGGGGGTGCGAGCAACGGCGATCAATCAGATGACACCTGTTGCCCAACCTCCCTCGTTCGTTCGTTCGCCACCTTCGCCAATTCGCAACAATTAGCAGCGATCCTTATCAAGGTTAGACTCTAGGGTGGCCGGGGTATCAACGATCCTAAACTGACGAGTTATCGCGCGTCGCACCCCACATGTGGAAGTGCCACACCTGTAATAATTAATCGTTCTGTCGTCCTTTTTCGATAACTTAATTAACCCGCGATTATTTTCATCATTGCTTGACACGTATTAATCATTGACTAATTATAATACACTCATAGAATGGCTATTAAAATTTCAATAAAAATGATTTGCGAATATGATGTGTGTATACACATATTCGATTTTTTTAAATATGAAACATTATCTGTATTTTGATTTAATTGGATCATCACTTTTTTTAATTCTTAATATTTCTGAGCTCATATATGTAACATATGTCATTTAAATTTAGACGAGATGTTGGAATCTTTTGTGATTTCTGAATGAAGCTAAAAGATTAATCACGTAAATATTACGTTTCTTGATGTAGCGTTAAATTGAGATTATTGAATAATTTTAATTTTAATCAATCTGACTAGCTATAACAGTTATTGGCAGAGAGTTTTCATTTACCTCTTCTTGAGAGAGAGAGGGAGAGAGAGAGAGAGTTGAGTCAATTTTAATAGAGATAAATGTATCAATCTTAAGACAGATAAATGTTTTATAATAATGAAACTAATTTTTTTAAATTGATAAATTAATTCCATTCTGTTAATAAATCTTAATTCTATTAATAAATTTTTCAAAGTAATTTTTATATAAAAATAAAAATATGTAAATAAAGTATATTTTAGATAAATATTAAAATAATTTATACTACAAAAGACGCGCATTTTTCAATCTTTGATTTAGAATAAAATCTGGTTTAGCTCCTCTCTCCCGGAACTATTATATAAACAAGATGTGTGATAATTTAAAAAAAAAGATTATTTATGAGAAAAATGTATATTTCTTCGCGAAGAAGACGGCATTTTGTAATCTGATAAAAATGTTTATTCGCTGTAGCCAGCGATGCGTTATTCTTTCTCCGCGAGTGAAACGCGAGAGGCATTTCGTGAATGATGAAAATCAGGCGCGTGGCTTCCGCGAAACGGTACGTAACGATTTCGCTCGCGCGGCATAATGAACGTAATCGACGATCTAATAAATGCAATGGCGTCCGGAGGAAAGGAGGTAGGTCCTTTTGCCACACAACAGGTGCGGAAGATTGTATCGCGATACAGATGGCACGAACCGTTGCGACACGAGCGCGCTTCTTGTTCGACTACCGAATGTGAGCGAGCGCTTTCGCCTTAAAATTCGCGCGCCTCGGCGCTCTAATTAACGCAAGCCTCCGTGAGCGCGCTCGTTATCGATGCATTGCTAAATATCAGCGCAGCCGGCGAGTAATTTTCTATGCCACCGAACGGGGGATGAGGCAACTCGCCGAAGACTAATCGACGAATCGGCCCGTTTTTGCGCAAGTCGCGTTACGTTGGATTATCGTTCTCGCAATGTTACATATATGGTCGAAATATTACTACGTGGAAGAAGCATTATCAGAAAAGATCCTTCCGAAACGAGAGTGATCAGAGAGATTTTGCTTCCGAGACATTTGATTCTTTAAAAAAAAAAAAAGAAAGAAAAAATCCATTATTTTTGAAAGGGAGAAACTGTATCGATCCCGCGAAACCAGGGAGGTACCACTAAGAGCAGAGTATGAGAGAAAGAGCGAGAGTCTTTTATGGACAGAGGTTGCCGGGAAAATAGAGAAACGAGTGGATGAGAACGAAGTTCGTACGACGTAACCCCAACATTTTCCTGACGCTACAACAGTGTTTCTCCCTTCGTGCTCGATTCTCCGCTCTTGTTCTTCTCTTTCTCGCCTCTTTGTCTCTCTCCCCCTTCCTTTTCCTCCCTTTCCCCTGCCTTTCCGGTACTTCATCTAATCATTGAGTGTACCCTTTCTTCTGTGCTTTTCCCCGTGCGATGCTCGTTGCGATCTGCGGCGCGAGACGGCTCCAACACAGATTTCACGACCTTACTTCTTACATCTATATAATTAAGCTTCCATGCTTGAAGCTGATAAATTGCGAGCGTAGAGATCATTGACATTACAAGAAACAAAATGTAGTCCGTTATGTATTTACACGATTTAATAACGATCGATCTCTTATAATGCCACGTGCTAGCTAATAAAGACTGCGTTTATTTCGATCAAATCGCATTCGTAATTGCGACTATTTCCTTCGCTCGTGATGAACTTCGATCGTTCAATCGTCGCGCGTCGTAAAGTTAAATTTCCGCTCGCATCTCGGCGTGGATTTGCGAGTTCGCCATTTCGGGGGGTTTGCAGGTCCGTCGCCGTAAAATCATGCGGTGGTTTTCGCTCGTGCGCAAGGAGAGTGGGGAGGAGAAGGTGATCCCCTTTCCCCTGGTCCTCTCGCGCGGCGAGAGGGACGAGTGGAAGGGAAATTTCTGCGAGCGTCACGTAACGACGTTCTCCTTCGCTCTCACGGTTACGACGCCTAAGAGAGAAAGCTCTTGGAGGTGGCGCCTCTCGGAGGAAGGCTTGGTAGAATTATGAGGGTAGAGCCGTGTCGGGGGTGCCACGTGGGAAGAAGCTATGCCTCCCCTGGCGCCGTCAGATCGTTCCCCAACGGCCACTCCTGAACTAAACTGCTTCGCTACCTACCTCGAAGTGCCATCTCCCACCCCAAAGTCAAGCTTCCTTGCCGTTTCGCTTTAAGTATGCGGATGTCGCAGCCGCATGCCGCTTAAATCTCGGGACTGTACTTCGAAATTTGAAGAACAAGAAGGACGAGAGATATAAATTATTTGTTCTTTGAAGCTGTACCGCTAGAGACGGGAAAATGGACGAAAAGTTGCGTCGTGCGTGTTCTCACAGTTTTTATCTCGCGTTTTTACGACCGCGAGCAAACTTTCGAAAAATACGTATTTTTTGGATAACGGCGAGCGTGTAAATCGTCGGGGTTGTTCGAGCGCGTCCGGCGACTATACGAGTATACGTCTCGAATACGTCGTCGATAACGACGCCGAATGTGGCTTTTCATATCGGACGGAATTTATTTCTAATAAACCGATAGAGTGACCGCGGGAATAAAACGGACGCGTACACGAGTGTTACGCAGGC